AGCGAGGTGCTTGCGGCACCCTGCCCGCCGGCGGCAGTGGGCAGTGGTGCCGCACGGTGGTGCTGCAGCCCCGCGGCAGAGCCGGCCGCCTCCTTGCCGCAGCGCCGAGCCAGCGCTAGGACGAGGAAAGGGATCATAAAACCCGTGTCTGCGGCAAGGCACGGCCACTCCCCGCCAGGGTGAAAGGACAAAGGGGGCACACAGGAGGTTAGAAGAGAGAAGGGAATGTCAGAAATGTTGGCATGGCTGGTAATGGCACAGCCAAAGCCTACAGTTTGGTGTGTTGCTGGGGTCATCCCCTCATTTAAAAAAAAAAAAAAATTATCATTACTGTCATCATTATTATTTGCTTTTCAATCTGCACCACCCATACCTGCTTAAGACAAGACACCCACCCCAATTTGGATTTGGTTCCTGCAGGCTAGTACTACAAGACTCCCTCGCCTTATGATGTTTCACAAGCTGCCTTTTTGCCTGGGTAAGATAAGCCAGCCTTTTTTACTTCTTGTGTGCTGTACAATGATATTGCACTTTAAAATAAAAAATACCCTCAAATTCGAAGCTGCCAAGCTGGATGCCCCGCAGAAACGAGGTAATCAGAGATGACTAAATCTCTTTGCACTGTGCTAGTTCTGAGGGGATTTATTGCTTGAAGAGGAGAAAAAGTAGAATGAGTGCCTGTTTTGACAGCCACATAAAACTTGCTTCACTTCACTCTGAACAGGCAGGGAAATGAAGACCAAGGGCTGCCAAGGTGAATCCAAATAATTAGGTCATCACACAGGAGTCCTGCCTTCTCTGCACTGCCCAGTGCTGGAGAGACAAAGATTCATTTTCAGATTTTGATCCAATCTCTGCTCTCCTTCTTACAGGAGACAGAATCCTTTCGGCATTTAAGGAGAGACAAAAAGAGATTTAAAATATATAGCAGAGCACAAAGTGCTTTGTATTTCATCCTCCAAGACTTCCCTCTCCTCCTCAGTCTGCAGAGAGCAGGCTGTTAGGGTGCAGACTTAGTGAAGGCCAGAAAGAAGCATTAGAGGACTTGTCTGAGAGGGAAGATGAAAGAGACTATCCAACTGGGTGAGAAAATCAAGTGCTACAGCAGCACTCTCTGCTGATTACTCTCCTTTGTGCAATACTCTTATGCAGAGCACTCCCACACAACCTTGGCTGTCTAGCTGGTTTCCCAAAGCAACACCCAGCACCCATGAGCAGAGAAGCAACAGCCAAGGTTTTCAGATAAGGGATCAGCTACCCAGGCACCAGCAACACAACATGGTCTCTTACAAATCATGACAGCAACTAATTTTTATTCATGGGGAAAAAAATTGATTCTCCAACTCACTGATTGTGGTGAAGACGCTTGTGAAGCAGAAGTAATCCACAGCGTTGAGTGAGAGCAGGTGATACAGAAATTGTTCCCGTTCTTCTTCACAGCGCAGGAAAGCGTAACGCTTGTAAAGTTTCCTGGTAGAAACAAAACACATTGATTTTTTTGCTGTTGCAAAAGCACCATGTATCTGAAAAGGTGTTTGAATCTCAGAACACCAAATGAAGAGTTGATCCTAATGGGAGGTATGAAAAGTGAGATTCCCCAGCTAACACAAGGTCCTAGAAACCCATGAGAGGTGTTTACCTCTATGCTACACATGCGCTTCATAGATCACTCTTGGCTCCAACATACCATAGCAAGGCTACAGAGTTCATCTCATTAAAGGATCAGTTTTGGTTTTGCTGCCAAACACAGATGCAAACTAACACTACTCCCAACAGCAGACCTGAACCAACATACAGCAACTTCATTTCTTCCCCATATCTTCCCACTGTGGAATAGTCTTGTCTAATAATCTTCCTTCTTCTCCATACTGCAACAGGGAAAACTAAGCAGAAGGCACCAAACCAGGGAAGGTGCCAAGCAGCAGCAGGGGCTCTCCTGCCACATTTTCAGTTCAGGGAACCAAGTGTGAATCACCAACTGCCCAACACAGCGCAAAGGCACTCCAGGAGTTAACCTGGCCCCACACTGAGAAAGTGCAGAGCTTGTGACGCTGCCTGTAGTCTGAAGGCAACAGACTCCCTGCCTTGGGTTAAGCAGAGACAGAGTTAACTTTCTTCATAATAGCTAGCAAGAGGCTGTGTTTTGGATTTATGCTCAGAAGAAAGCTGATAAGGGATGTTTTGTGCTGCTGTCAAGGTCAGATACTTTCAGCCTCCCTGCTCCCTGCAGACAGGGATTTGTTCTTCGGTTACTAGATTGAGAACCAGAGTGATCAATAATCTATTCCATAACATACACGTCCTGCCTAATATATAGGTGAGGACCCTTCCTGAGGATCGCCCCTTCACCGTTTGGTTCTGGTGCCTTTCGGTTTCAGTTCTCTTCTGGCTCCAGGTGGTCTCTCTCTCAAGGCCCTCCCCTCCCCCCCACTCCGCACCCCAGTCGGCTCCCGGTTTGGCATGCTCAGACTGTTACCTCCGGTCTGTGATTGTGGTGTTTCGGGAACCTCCCCCCCCGCTCCGGGAGGTTTCGGGACCCCTCCCTGCTCTGGGGTCGACTCCCCCTGTTCCAGGATCATTAGCCGTGAACAGGCTGAGTCTTTATCATTGGGTGGGGGGGCAGTATCACTGTGTATCACTCAGACTCTCCCTTCTCTGGGATTGTTAGCCGGGAACAGGCTGAGCCTTTGGTCATCGGG